ACTCAATCTCGGCCACCAATTGCTGCTCCATTTCCAGCGACTCCTCTTCGGGCGCCGGCGTACCGATGATGGCGTCCAACGAGTCCGTACTGTTGGCCCTCTTATCCATGCCATTGGTTCGTTTGGGCTCATCGTTAGAGACACTGGAATTGCTGTCCACTTCCGCCACACTATTCTGGAGCGAGTCATTCAACTGTTTGAGACGCGCCTCTTTGGCCCGTTTGGGACCCGGTCTCGAGAGGATAGTCTTCCGCTGCTCATCGATATTAGTCTTCGACGGACTTTTGCTCACACTTTCTGACGAGTCCTTCGACTTCTTAGACTCGCTCTCGTCGTCTGATTTGTTGTCAGATTTATCCGACTTTTCGTCACTTTTCTGGTCTTTCGATTCACTCGAGCTTTGGTTCAGTTTCGCCATCTGTGCCTCTTTTCGGCTCTTCGGTCCCGGTTTTATCACTGCTTTGGTTAGCCTATCACTCAACGACTTATTAGCACTGCTTTCCGACTCCTTGTCCTCCTTCTCGTCGTCGTCTTCTTTATCCTTATCCTTTGTCTTCGTTTTGTCTTCTTTTCTCTTGTCTTCATTAGAATCGGTTGTATTCCAAGAAGAGGACGACTTCTTGTCATTTGATTCATTAGAGTCGTTGTCTTCGGGATCGACGCCAACTTTCAATGGAGTCGTCGTCTTTGGCGTTGCCTTCAGTTTCTCAAGTCTCGCCTCTTTGGCTCTTTTGGGTCCCGGTTTAGACATAATCTTCTTCACCGTCTCGTCCTTCTCTTCGACGTCCTCTTTGTCCTCATCTTTACTTTTAGACACTTTCGATGTCTTCTCGTCGTCCGAGAGATCCGATTCGTATTCCTTCCTCTTCTTACTCTTGGACTCGTCGTCCGAATCGACATCTTTTGGCTTCTCTTTGGTCTTCTCCTTCTCTTTCTCGTCAAACGACGACTGCTTTAGTTTCTGAAGCCTCGCCTCTTTCGCGCGCTTTGGTCCCGGTTTTGACATAATTTTCTTGACCTCAACGTCAGAATCGGATCCCTTGTCCTTCGCCTTAGACTTGCTGTCATTGTCTGAATCGGAGTCGTCTTTCGACTTCTTTTTCGTTGATTTTGAATCCGAGTCTTTGCTCTCATCTTCCGAATCGGGTTTGGGTTTCGGCTTCTGTGCCGACTCTTTCAGCTTCTGAAGGCGCGCCTCTTTGGCTCTCTTGGGCCCCGGTCTCGACATAATCTTCTTCGTCTCCTCGTCTTCTTCAGGCTTTTTGGACTTCTTTTTCGAGTCCGACTCCGAGTCCGAGTCCGAGCTGTCCTTCTTTTTGGGCTTCTTCTCCTCCTTCTTCTTGCGCTTCTTGTCGTCCGAATCGGAGTCCGAGTCCTTCGGCTTCTTCTTCGCGCTCTTCGGCGCCGGTTTGTGTTTCTTACGCTTGTCGTCATCGGAATCGCTGCCCGAATCGTACGAACGCTTCTTCGCCTTCTATCACATCAAACACATCAACAAAATAGAGACAAAACTCGGCACCAAATCTCTCCACCAAAAACCCATACCTTTTCCGAGCGTTTGATATCATCCCTCGAGAGGCCACTCGTCGACGCCTCTAAATGGGCCGACGAGTGCCGGTCTTTGTCTCTCTTCAGGTGCTTATCAGCTCTCTGTTTCTCCACATCCCTCGCCCTCTGCTTATGTCTCTCCTTCTTCTCCTGCCAGCGCTTCTCGAAGGCGTTCAACAGATCGGGACAATCCATGTTCTCCCGGGGCTCCCAAGTCATCTCCCGCTCGCTATAGCCCTT